TTATTAAGCACGAGATCATTCAGTTATTTGCATCAGCTTAATTACTTAGTGTGTGATTTTTAGATAGTGCTGACTGCTAGATAAACTACTTAAGAGCTGTTAAAGGATAAGAACTCAAGGATATGTCATAACAAATATTTAAGTTGATTTCCATATTCGAGAGACTTAAGGTGTTAAAATAATACCGATCTTATGAATTTTTCCCAAGTCTCCACAATCTAACCTCAAATTAATCTATAGCTTAAAAATTTCAAAAGATACATTGTGTTTCAAAGTAAATTTATTTATTTATTTAAGAACAAAAACAAAACAAAATAAAAAAATGGTTCCCTCCCCCACACTTAAAACATACATTGTCCTCCATGAAAGAACATAAATATAAAATAAGAGTGAGAGAAAGGAAAAACACACCCGAATATTCAAGGTGGATAGGTGATCACGTAAGCAATCTTTCTCAAAGAGAGATCTTTTGTAGGCTCCTCTTCCAAAGTGGTGATGTCATAAAGTAAGTTTGGGTATCATCCGTTGACCTTGAAATATTTATTAGTGCCTTCGCCTTTTATTCCAGGATCAAAAAAGAATCTTCGATAAATAAAAGTGTTGAATGGGCACGTGAATGTGATATTCTTTTCCACAACATCAGAGATCAAAGGATGAAGGGGTTGCATAACTGCTTTTCTTCCATCTTCCATCGATGTCCATCCAATTTCCTTCTTATGTTTCTTCAAAACCTGCAAAAGCTTATTTTCTTGATCAAAATCAAGGTTAGAAGAAATTATAATAGGTATCGTTTTATTCCTCTCTAAATAGGCATAGTTTAGATTGTTAGAAAGTGATTTAAGCTCTAAGGAAGAAGGTTGATCAATGAAAGGCACGATCGGGGCAGCCGAGATATCAAGAGCTTCAGCCGCATAAACGACATCATGAAAAGCATCACCCTGCAAGGCAGTATTAATCTCAGCACAAATAGAGCAAACGTTAGTGTCAGTACATCGCAAGAGTAAGTATCATCATAATCTAATAAAAATGGAAAATCAGATAACAACTCAGGATAAATATCATCAACTAAATTAGACAATAACTCTTTTGGATTCACTACTGTTTGGATGGGTAGTTGGTTTGATTCTTGAGCTTGCTGCATGACATTCACTCTAGTGGTAAGTTGTCCGATCTATATCTGCAAAGCCTGAAGACTGGAATCTGTTCGTTGCTGAAACTGAAGATCATTTATAGCCATTTGCTTGACAAGGTCCTCTAGTGAAGATTCGGAAGGTTTAAAGCACACAATTTGGAATTCCTTCATATGCTTATTCGTATCCTCACCTGCAAATTCATTAAACCTTGGCAACAAGTGTACTAAACCAGATTTCAATTCAAAAAGAACATCAACATCAATATATTCAATACTTAAACCATTATAATGAAAATAAGGAGCAGCAAGCTCTCTTAATGTTCTTTGTCCATCCATGTTATCAAAAGGGGGAAAAATTAACAAAGAATGAGAAAGTACAAAACCAATTCAACAATTCAACAAATGCAGAAATACCAACAATGCCCCTATTGAAAAAAGAAGTGGAAAAATAGGAAAGCGGTTAAAATAAAATCAAAAAATTATAAAAATATGACTAAAAATCAAATCAAATCATAATAAATCTCTACAAAAAATTTCGGATTTTTTTGAAAATATGAAAATATAAATTAAATCAAATAAAATAGAAAAATAAGGAATTTGTGATTTTCAGGGTCAAAATCTTTTAAAATTTTATTCCAAAGGAGTATTGTTCGTCTATTTTTTTTTCTAGATTTTCTGGAAAAAAATCAGAGCAAATCAAAACAGTAGCTTTCAACTTACCTGATAGGCTGAAACGCTTACCCCTATTCTGCAACCCTGAAAATTAACACACACAAACAAAAGCCAAAAAACGAAAAAACAAAAAAAAATTCTAACAAACTCTAAATTAAAATTTTAAAATTGGCTAAAATTAACAAGAATCCCCGGCAACGGCGCCAATTTAATTCGTTGTCGCGCACGGATAAAAAACGAGTAATTTTAAGAAAATAGTTAGCGGTAGCGACAACTCGAGTATTGTTCTCACAAGGATTCTTGTATTATTTCAACCAAGTAAAGAAAAAGTTTATGGGGGTTTTAAATTTTGATTTATAAAATAAGAGAAAAAAAGTGATTATCAAATAATCTAAAACGGCTAATCCTACTGATTCGGATTCCGACTTATCATCGGCTATTATAACACCAATCTCTAAGCGGCTTCGATTCTATTCGATTATGAGATCAATTAGACAAGCGCTTATCAAAATTAAATGAATTACGTTACTGTTTACCGAATTCAGAAAACAGTTAAGAATATGACAAGTTAACAAATTAAACAAACGATAACACACAATTAAATTTAGGAACATGCATACAATCGAATTTAATCAATTTTATCCTATGAACATAATAGAATTAAGCAAACGATTGCAATCAAATTAAAAAAAATGACTTCATAGAAAAGAATTGAACAGAAATCGAATTAAATTGATATTAGAATAACCTCAAAGCGATGGAACCCGTAAGTAGTAGGATTTGCCTTGGGAATTAGTTCTCCATTACAATCATAAAAAGGAAAACGTAAAATTTGTGAAAAGAAGGTTAAATGACAGTAGTACGGTTGCTAGGTATAAGAAAATATCAACACTTCTGGTTTTAACCCAACTGAGTTGAAAAACATAGAAAACCCGGCCCAAAACTAAATATTTCAGACGACAGACTTCGGGTCCTGACTTCAACGAATTATTTGGACCTGCTACACTCCCAATCATTTTCTACCTCAAACATAAAATTTGTAGCTCTATGTCTTAGCTTTCCAACGCCTATTAGAACGTGCAAATCCGATTCTCGCAGCTCCAGTTATGATTCAAACAGTGGACAAATATCAAATAACCGCTAAAGCTGAAAATAAGTTGTGAAAATAAAATAAAGGTAAAAACAAACTTAAATATGAAAACACATTTAAATAGTAAAAAATACTCAAATAAACTGTAGGAATGCCTAAGTATAGCAATGGAAGAATGTGTATGAAGATGTATTGATCAATATGCTCCTCACCAAATTCAACAAAAGTAAAAAAGGTCTTTGCCATGTTTGTGAAACAAATTTGCATGCCTTTAGGGATTATCCAAAAGTAATGCACATTTAGAAGAGCTTAGTTCCTAGTAATATCTTGGTAGACTTTTTCTCAGTGGATCTTAAGGATTAGGTTAGTTTAAACGTTAAGTTTCATGAAAAATGAATTAAGAGGTGTTGTAGTGTGTGAGTCATTACGTGTCATAGATGTTGTAGAATAAAGAAGAATATGATGAATCTTATGTGAGACTTAATGAATCGGTGCTTCACAACTTACAAAGAAGACTTGACTATAAGAACGCGAAGAATCTAACCATTAAAGTGACAAGGAATTGAGTGCAGACTAGGAATATGGAGTGGCGACCTCCTCCTCATAACATGGTAAAGCTTAATTCAGATTGTGCCAGCACAAAGAATAATTCAACTGGTTGTGGGGAGTCAAAAAAGATGATATGGGTGCTTAGATTAGCGATTTCTTCAAATATCTGGGACATTGTAGTTATATATTGACAAAGTGTTAGGTCTATGAAGGGCTCAAGCTTACTATGTTTTTAAGATTGAGGAGAGTGGAGATAAATGTGGATTCTCTGTCAGTATTAAAAGCTATTGAAGAAGAAAAAGTTAATAATGTGAATTGTTTGGCTTTGATCAGAGATATTAGGAAACTTATTGCAGATCATGAGATTTTGCAAGTGGTTCATATTTATAGAAAAACTAATGAGTGTTGATGTTCTAGCTAACATACGGTGTTTTGAGAACCAATCTCGAGTTTATGAAGAAGCTCAAATAGACTCTGTTGAATTCTGATAGAGTTGGTTTTGTTGCCTTTAGGGGGATGTTTTTATAGTTGTTTTCTTTGTTAGATTTATGCCCTCTAATATATCTACTAATTTAACTATTAAATTAGATTCAATTTAAAAGTTATAATTTGGAGTAAGTTAAAAAAAACTTACTCTTAAAGTATGTTGATCCCCACTTTTATATATATATATATATATATATATATATATATATATATATATATATATATATATATATATATATATATATATATATATATATATATATATATATATATATATATATATATATATATATATATATATATATATATATATATATATATATATATATATATATATATATATATATATATATATATATATATATATATATATATATATATATATATAATTTGATTTTATGCCCAAAAAAAATATTATTTAATTTTAATGTTTTTTTTTGGTTGTCCGCAAAGACAAGAAAAGGGTTGATTCATCTTACAATTCAATTCATAGTTCTTATATTATTGAAGTTTTTGCTCCTCGTTTTCTATAACTATTTTTAGTCATATATTTTATACATTTGTAATTACTTTTTTCAATATATTTTCTCTGCAACGTTCATTTTGTCGAGTGATACAAGATTTTCTTGGGAAATATCCTCATATAACCGTTGTTTTAACACTTTCACTTAGATTTAATAAAATATTACATATATCTCTATAATAATATGATGGCTAAATATATAATTGATTAAATATACTTTTGTAAAAATTTAAAATATATTTCACCTTAAATTAATTATTGAAAATATTTACAACTATATATATGCATGAATTCAAGAGGTTAAATTAAATGTTTTTATTCGAATTATATTAATAAGCAAATATAATATATAATATTTGTAACCAACCAAGGGCTCTATGAAACATGTTGCTCATGCAAACCTCCTACTCACCATGTCACACACAAACGTGCCAACATCTCATCAACTCCACCTTTGTATAAAACCACACATTCACAAACACCAATATTAAAATCTCTTACATTCATTCTTCAAGAATCAAACTTTGTTTTGTTTTGTACACTCCAAAATGGCACAACCTCAAATTCAAGTCCACTCATCAGCCACACATTATGAAACTGGTCCCTATCAAGCACCACCACCACAACACCTTCGGAAAGAAATTTACAAAGGTGGTGCCAATTATTCTGACCGTCACGGTCATCGTTACGCTGATGATGTTGATGATTTCTCTTTTAACCTCTTTGAGAAAAGTCCTTCTGCCTCTCAAATTCTCGCCACACTTGGAGGGATTTTCGTAGGTGGGACGCTGCTTTTGTTAGCCAGCGTCTCATTTTTTGTCAGTTTGGTTGGACTGGCGATAGTGACACCGCTTTTCATCCTTTTTAGTCCAATTCTAGTCCCCGCTGTCTTCACTATAGGACTAGCGGTGGCTGCGGTATTGACCGCCGATGCTTGTGGTCTGACGGGGCTTATATCATTGTCATGGGTGGCGAGGTACATTAGGGTTGTACAAGAGACGGTGCCGGAGCAAGTGGACTCCGTGAAGGGACGTTTGGCTGACGTGGCGGGGTATGTTGGACAAAAAACTAAGGATGTTGGACAGAAGACTAAGGAGGTTGGACAAGACATACAAAATAAGGCACATGAAGCTAAGAGATCAGCAGAAAATCATAATTAGTAGTGGTTAATTTCAGTTATAATAGTTAAGTAAGTTTAAATAAAAAAGGGAAATAAATAAAGTATGCACTTTGGTAACTTTATTTTATTTTATTAATGTTATGTGGGTTGGTTTCCTAGGGTTGTGTTCTTGTTGTTTCATCACTTGTGCTGTATTGTACTATACTAATAATGTGTTTATTTTGTTGTTGTAGTATTTAATTTGTTCACTTGATTGAGTAATTGAATTACTGTGTTTTTTGTTCAAATCAAAATAATTAAGAAAATTCAAAATATTATTTTGTGATTTGGGTTTGGGAGCCATTAATACAATTTAAATAAAATTGGATGTGATTTTGAAATTAAGATCCCAAAGAATAAAGGGGGGAGACATATGCCAATTTCATTAATCTTTATTAAAATTCAAAATAAATTAAAATTAAACATGGTTTAAATTTCTTTCTTCAACTGACATTTTTTTTCATCTATAGCGATCAACAAAAACTTTGGGATAATCTCTGGTCAAATAGTTTTTAGTTGAATAATGTTATTTGCTTCTGTCTTATCTGCAGCTTTTCTGTCAAAAATTTAAATTTTCAAATGGCGTTTGTTTGATAACAAACTTCTATCCAAATCTGATTTTTTCAAGAGGGAGATCTTTCATTTTTTCATAGACCTCAAGTGTGTTTCTTGTTTGTTTTGCTTTGCTGGAAGATCTTTGCTTCATAGGAGATTGTTTGGAATTGGAGATTTCTTGCGAATTCTCTATCTTGAATCATGAAGAACAATTCTACACTCTTATGAGATGCAACGCAATCAGAAATAAGAAAAATAAGAAAATATTGATTTAGTTGGGGACTTGTTATGTTATGGAAGATCAAACAATATGGTATCTCAGTTCATATAACCTTAAATCTTAAGTGCTCTAAAAATCAATCCATGTTATCTCTCACATTTCATGACTTTGTATTTTTACTTGTAAAATATTTTGCACATTTTTCAATCAAAAAAAATTAATTTTTAAGTCAAACAATCAATTGCATGGCTATGTCAGTTGATTGCCTTCATTTAAAACGTGGCTATGTCAGTTGATTGCCTTCATTTAAATTTGGAAATTTTTTATTGACATCAATGAATTGCATAAGATAAGCAATCTATTGGCATGAGTTTAAAATTAAAATTTTTTCAACGTATTATAAAGGGTGCATTTAATTGTCTATCCCTTATAATCGGTTGACACCATGAATTTTCATTAAAATAATCGGTTGACACCATGAATTTTCATAAAAATATTTTAATGGAATGTAGCTTTTCAAAACAATTTCACACCTTATCATAAATTATTAAGAGTTATGTCTCAAAATAGTGTGAATATATATATATATATATATATATATATATATATATATATATATATATATATATATATATATATATATATATATATATATATATATATATGATCAAATTCACCTGTTTCAAAAATTTCTTCTTTAAGTATTTCATTGTATCTCATTGTATCAGTAATTTTCAATCATCAAGAACTTGTGCATTATTTTCATAAATCAAATAATGTGAAAGTTTTTGAGCACTTAAAGATATATTGTGATATACCATCATTCTTGAAAGGAAAGAAATCCTTATGTTAGGATTTATCATATCATACTGTTTCAAACTTATATTTATCAAAAATCAGATATTTGTATCAGTACCTTGTTGTTCAAGATTGTTGAAAAAATAAATGATTGTTTTCTTTTTCTATGTTGTAAAATCACAAGGTGGTTTGTCTTGTTGATTTAGTTAGAAGTTTGTGTATAAAAGTTAGGTATAGGCTTGTACAAAGTTCTAACAATAGTAAAATCTCTTACAGTGGTAAGGAGACTAAATGTACTTTCGGATTGTGAGGGAAACTGGTATAAACCTTCAATGTTCTTTATTTTTGTTTGCACTTTATTGCTTTCATAACCTAACACCCAACCAGTAAAATAAAGATACACTCCTCTAAAAACCAAAAAATTTTAAAGTATCTAATCCACCCCTCCTCTCTTAGGTGTACTATATTATTACAATTTGAATTAGAGCGAGTTAAGGTAACTTGTTCCTAAAAGATTCATAATGGCTTTCGCAAATCCAGTTTTTAGAGACGGTAGTAGCAATAATAAGCCTCCGTTGTTTTGTGGTGAATACTTTAATTTTTGAAAAATTCACATGAAGACTCATCTAGAAACACAAGGAGAAGAAATCTGATATGTTATACAAAATGGTCTGCTTGTTCCTATAATTGTTGTCAACAGTGTTGGGACGACAAAGATAAAAAGTTCATGGGATGAAGATGATAAGAAAAAGGTCCTCTACGATAAGAAAGCAATCAACTTACTTAAAAGTGCATTTAGTATGGATGAATTCTTTAGGTCTCTCAATGAACTACTACAAAATAAATGTGGAATACATTAGTGGAAACTCATGAAGGAGTTGTTGAATTAAAAAGATCAAGATTGATATACCTTGAGTCAAAGTATGAGTTATTCAGAATGCAGCCTGGAGAATCAATCCTTGAATTGCAGAAGAGATTTATACACTTGACCAATCACTTGATTGATATCGGTAATATTTTTACTAACGATGAACTTAATCTTAAAGTGCTTAGGTCTTTAACTAGGGAATGAAAACCAAAGGTGATGACAATATCTGAAAAGAATAGTCTATCTACTATGACATCCGCATCTTTATTTGAAAAGCTTCAAGAGCATGAGATTGAACTTAGGAGATTAGGAAAGCATGCAATTCAAGAGAAGAAATTCAAAAGCATTACTTTGAAAGTTGACTCAAGGGAAGAACTAGAAGAAGATGCTCCGGAAGAAATTCACATGAAGACTCATCTGAAAAATTTCTTTCTTTTCGGTAATAATGATAAATCTTTGAAATTTGCAAAAAGAAAGAAATTTTTCAGGAAAAAAGAAGTTGTTATGTAAACACAAAATGTCACTTACTATGAATATGGAAAGCAAAGCCACATAAAGATGGATTGCCCAAAACTCGCCAAGAAAAGTGTTTCAAAGGAAGAACATAGTCAAAGTCCAAAAAGGCCCACATTGCATGGGATGGCAATGAAGTGAGTTCATCATCTGATTCAAAAAGTGAGGAATATGCAAATCTTACATTAATGACATCACACTGTTCCAATGATGAAGAAGAAGAGGTTTGCTTGAAGACCATTATAAATCTATGGTATCTTGATAGTAGTTATTCTAAGCATATGAAGGGAGATATAAACAAATTTTTATCTCTAGTTCTAAAGGCCAAAGGATATGTCACATATGTAGACAACAACAAAGAAAAGATTCTTTACAAAGTCAAAGCATCATATTTCACATCCATTGAAGATGTGATTTATGTTGAAGGACTAAAACACAATCTTCTAAGAATAAGCCAACTTTGTGACAAAGACTTCAAAATCAATTTCATCAAGGATGAATGTTTGATTGAAGATGAAACCACTCTTGAGGTAAAACTCAAAGGTGAGAGAATTAATAACATTTTCATGATTTATTTAGATGATTTATCCTTGAAAGTAAATTATCTAATGGTAAGCAACAATGACTCATGACTTTAGCATAAAATAGTAATCCATATTCATATGGAATATTTAAACAAACTAGGTAAACATGATCTTGTCATTGGTTTACCAAAGATAAAGTTTCTCAAAGATAAATCATGTGATGCATGTCAAAAAGGTAATCAAACCAAATCAATTTTCAAACCAAATAATGTGGCATCAACTACAAGTCCATTTCAATTGTTACACATGGACTTGTTTGGTCCATCAAGAACAAGAAGCTTCAGATGTAATGTATATGCCTTAGTTATTGTTGATGATCTTTCTAGATTTTCTTGGACACTCTTTTAAGTGCAAAAAAGTGACGCATTCAAGATATTCAAGAAGTATGCAAAGCAAGTGCAAAATGAGAAATCACTAAATATTGCATAAATTATAAGCAACCATGGTGGAAAGTTCCAAAATGCATCAGTTGAAGATTTTTATGAAAAAGATGACATCTTTCACAATTTTTTTTAGCACCAAGGACTCCACAACAAAATGGAGTGGCGGGAAGAAAGAATCGATGTCTAGTTGAAATTACAAGAAATATGTCGAGTGACTACCAAAGTACTTTTGAGCGGATGCGGTTAACACGACATGTTATATGAGTAATCGTGTTATAATTAGACAAATCTTGAAAAATACATATGAATTCTTCAAAGAAAGAAAGTCAAACATTGTTCATTTTCATATCTTTAGATGTAAGTGCTTTATCCTAAACAATGACAAAGACAATCTCAGTAAGTTTGACGAGAAATGCGACAAAGGCATTTTTCTTGGTTATTCTCTCTATAGTAAAGCTTATTGAATTTATAGTAAAACAACTTTAAATATTGAAGAATCAATTCATGTCTCTTTTGATTAATCTAACCCCTATAAGGAGGATATAGTTGTGTTGTGATGATGATGATATTTTAGCTGTTACTATGGAAGATGTTGCCAAAGATAACAATGTTGATCAATTGGAACATAGAAAGGAATCTACTTAACAAGATACAAATTAAAGTGATCTTCCTCAAGAATGAAGAACCCATCGTGATCACCTAATTGGCAAAGTTATTGGTGGCATAAGTAAAGGAGTTTTAACAAGGCTAAAACTCAAGGATGTTGCTTGAATACGAAATTTATTTCTCAAATATAACCTTTAAAGATTAATGAATCCTTAGGATACAACCAATGGATTCTTGTCATGCAAGAAGAAATTAAATCAATTCGAAAGGAATCAAGTTTGGATACTTGTTTCTAGGCCAAGTGGTAAATACATCATGGGTACCAAATGGGTGTTTAGGAACAAACTTGACGAGAATGCTATAATTGTTCGAAACAAATTAAGATTTGTGGCTCAAGGTTACAATCAAGAAGAAAGAAACGAATTTGAAGAAATATTTGATCCGGTTGCAAGGTTAGAAACTATTCATTTATTA